GAGACTATATTGTGGTCTTTACAGCTTTTAAATAAGTTCTCCATAAATGGATTTTGAAGGAAAAAATCTCAATCTTGCAGTCTCATCTGAGATGTGATTTCATGTGAAATACTGCATTGTAAGTCAGTCCCCCAGCACAAAAAAATTATTCTAGTCTTGGTTGACTTCATCCTTCATCAGTGTTTGTTTTGAATTGTAGACCTTTTTTATCTGAAAGTAGAAAATAAAGAAACACAATTAATGCTTTGAAAAAATAATAAGTGGCTAATACATAGATACATCTAGATAAAGCCCAAAGTAATGAATTTGATAGGGTACCAAGTGTGTAGAGCAACAGGGACTGGAATGCTTCAGGTCTCTTATAGTTTTTACTATGACAGTGCTATAAACACTTGTCATACTTACAGGTCTGTRTCAGTGCAATATCCATAGCTTGACAAGATGTTTATAAACTTGACCAATGAAGGTCTTGTTTTAGGCTGATTGTCAAACTGTTGAGAAGACAAAATGAAGATTAGAACATGTACTAACATTAAATACAATAATATTGTATCCACTCTATGTTATTAAGACAGAAAGTACAGGATTTCACTGACTTCTTGTCTACAGTTCACACACACACTGCTTGGACTGAGGGTACAGTTGTGTAATGTGAATGGGAGTAGTGTAAAGAAATGAGATGGATACTATAAATAGCATTGAACATAGACATACCTTTTGTTTGCAACTGACTGGCTGTTAATACAATTGTATTGGTAGAGAGATCTACCATACCATTAGTCCAAAGGGACAGTGTTCATCATGAAGTACCTCCATCAGTAATCATTTATTATTGAGAACAATTCTCATAAATATCTTCAAGGCACTGCAAATGTCAAAGATAACAGTTACTGAATTGCGAATTGCACTTGACTAAATGTAAACATCGAAGCTAATCCTGGGGGGGGGGGATGCTTGTAAGTGCGATGTTTAAAAGGGAAAAATTGCCCACTTTATACAGATAAAGGAACTGCATGGAAGATGTGACATTTCTCTTTAGGAATTACTGGTTATTTCACCCTGTATATAATTTCTTTACGAAAGCAAGTGTCAATATCGACGAGACA